TGTATCTGTAGTGCAAGCTGCTTCTTTCGTCTGGTTGCAGACATGTGACATGGCTGAATTCTAGGTTTTGTTAGATCCTCAAAATGCCTGCAAAAGGTCAAAACCAAGTGTTGGTTTTAAGTAGATTGTCAGTAGGGTAACTCCCTTGAAGGTTTTCTTTGGTCTGTGTGTGTTATGAGGTTCTGAAAATCTCAGGATGTTGTTGAGGTTGAGAAGCTTCCTCCACAATGTCTGTGTAGGAAGCAGAGGGATTTCTCCAGGTGTAGTTAGAGGCTGATGTTTAACACTCACCGGTAGTCTGTTTCAAATTCCTAGACCTGAATTCAAGATTTTACCATTCAGATTTTCCTTATGTCATTAACTTTGTTACTTGATTCAGTATAGCCTTATTAATTGATTCATGATCAGGCCTACCATACAAACGGTGAACAAATCTCAAAACTGAACTCGTATACACCAAAACAGAACAAAAATCACCAAAATAGGAAAATAAACTTCCAAAACTGCCACAATTTCCTCTAAAACCGAAACAAATGCATCTGTAATAGAAAACTAATCGTTTAAAATGGAAACAAAACTCGCGTATCAGCTACAAGAGTGCCCGAGAACGTTGAATGTCACGTTATGAATACTTTATTTACAAAACTGAAGAGAAACAGTAGCACGACATGTTGACAACAAAGTACAAACCCTCTTCGGTCGAATGAGGGAAAAAACATTGTGCAGAATCGCAAGCCTGACACTGAGAAGAATGAACATAGGTTTGAAGCTTCCTACAATAGGGGGTTGATGCGCTACATCCCGATATCAAATTTTCAAGATTAGACTCACAGTGACGTAAAACATTATTTACCACAGCCTGTTCATCTCCCCGCGCTGCCATCTTTGACGATTTTTATGCCGTTTGGGGATGCTATGACTGCCATTTTGTACTCTTGGCAAACTTTCTCGGGCGCTCTTGTAGCTGATAACGGAGTTTTGTTTCCATTTTAAACGATGAGTTTTCTATTACAGATGCATTTGTTTTGGTTTTAGAAGAAATTGTTGCAGTTTTGGAAGTTTATTTTCCTCTTTTGGTGATTTTTGTTCTGTTTTGTATGCCAAAGTTCAGTTTTGAGGATTTGTTCACCGTTTGTATGGTAGGCCTGTTGATGCTCTACCATCAATAATCTGTCTCACAGTCCCTGAACCACATTATTTTCCCTTCAGCCTAGCACCTTCTGCAATGCTAAAGCCCTAAAAGAAGCAAGTCAAGATTCCCTCAGGTTCAGGTGCTGAATCTCCCGTCTCACTGGGGCTCCTTTTCATGTTTCCCTGTCCACCATAAATGTAGCTCAGTGGTCTGTTTAAATAGATTCTTTATAGCATGTGGAACTCATACAATGGTTGAAATTAGTCATGAAGGTCAAGAAGAGCCCTTGAACAACCACCCCCACCCCACCCACCCCCCAAACTCACACATACACACACATACACACATTGTTATAACCCTTTACAAGCTGAAGAGTTAGGAGGTCCCTTTTTTTGATACAAGGGCAAACATCAAGGACTTTAAGGATCCGCCCATATTTCAAGCACTGCCTTGCTGTGATAATATACTGGACAAAATAAGTTAGGGATATTGGTATTTTTATGATTGATATTTTATCAGTGTGTCAGTGATTAAATAGATCATTATTGATAATTTCAAAATTTACATATATCCCTAACTAGTTTTGTCCAGTATATATTCAGCAACTGGTGCGCATATTATAGAAATTAAGTCATTGTATGTTTAATCTGTATGATTTTGTGAAAACAAACATTTGTATTGTAAAATCGTATAATGATTTCCACCATTACCTACAAATATGGTTCTTTGCCAAGGAAATGTGATATTCATCGCCAATTTCCTAATGTTATTATGTGGTAGAGGGTTAGACCCAAGTGTTTGCCATATGCTCGCTATACCTGTATCTACACATGTGTTAGCTATACCTGACTTGCTTTCTCTGACCTTAAGCCTTGGTATGAACATCACTGACCCACAACTTCAGGCATTTGGGAAACTTGCTGTTTCAGCACAATATATTTCACCAATCTCATTCTTGAGGTGGAAGAAACCGGTGAGATGTTGTAGGTGAGATGTTGTAGGACACAGGTTTCTGTTACTTCTGAAGAATTCATTCATCCGTGTGTCACTAGATCAAGAAAGATTTCAAGTGACTTTGAGGCTAAATTATTGTGGTAATTTTGCATTTAATTAAGTTTCAGTTTGCACAGACATGATATGCATCCATGTCTATATATCAGAGTCTCCTCCTGAGGCTTGAAAAGAACATTCAAGATCAGCATCCTTTCATGTTTTCCATCATCAAGATGACATGATATAATGTGAAATACTTTTCAGTGTGGTGTTACTGTTAAGCCAAACTCACTCACTCACACACTCACTCACTCACACTCACAATCAATCAATCAATCAATCAATCAATCACCCACCCATGTTGAACTTGATGTTTGAAACTTACAGTTGTCACAATAAACATTTGGTCCCTTTGTTTGTTTGCTTTCTTCATTCCATGTAAACCCTGGATAATTTGGAATATTTACGCTGATCCCTTCAACTTTGACACTGCAGTACTTGACTACCAGTGTCAAGCTGGACTGGATAATTATATGAATATGAACATAATTATATGTAGAAGGTGAAGGCTTAACAGCAACAACAATTGATGTACATGAGAGGGATTTACATGAGTGGGTTTAGTAATAGCAAGAAAAGGATAACTTCATAACAAGGTGATGGTGATGGCCTTGACTAACGCTTAGACTCTGAATATTATATTTAATTTTGATAGTAACGCATAAACCCATTTACATTGAAAAGGAGCACAAGTGAGATGGGATTCAGAACCTGAGGAAATCTAGACTAGCTTCATTAAAGGGTTTTAGCATTGCAGGGAGGGCTTGGCTGTAGGGAAAATAATGTGGTTCAGGGACTGTGAGACTGACTAGTAATGGATGAAGATGCCATGATGAGGAAGCAGGGATCAAACCAGGAACATGAAACCATGCTACAGCATTCACTCATCATACCAAAGACCCAATTCTGATCTCCTATATGAGTCTAGTGTATGATTTCCATTTCTGGTGTCCCCCAACATAATACTGCTGGAATATTACTACAAGCGATATGATACCGTATTCACTCACTCCACAGTGCCAGGAGATCTAGACAAATGTTAACCAATCTCACAGATACAGGTTGTGTTCAAATTAACTTTAGGTGACAAAGAATCTTTTAATATCAGTTATTTCAGTGTCAGTTCACAAACGTTTGAAAGTCTGAGGCTTGCTGCAAAATCCAGCTTTTTCTGTTTGTTAACAGTTTTCTTGTTGGTAAAAAGTACAGCTTACCAGTTTGTGATGTCATTTGATTGTGATGTCATCATTATAATCATGTCATAATGGTCAGTAAAGCATTGTGCTGTGATTTCCTCTGTGTATCTCATCAAAGGGAGATCTCTATGGAAGCCAGATTGGGTTGATAAGTTAGAGACCTGATCGCCAAACTTTCATCTCCTGAAGGAAGTGTGAATATATTTAACGAGAAACCTTAGTTCTGACAGCTCATACTCATACTGTGGACAGTCTTGAAGAGAACATCTTTTTTTAATGCAATTTTAACACAACTCCCTTGATTCATCATATATCTTGAAGTATGTTAGTGTGGGTGATCTTGGTAGGAAAGATCCTGTGTGGATTAATAAGGGTTCAGAGTATACAAACTGATGCAGATAATACATGATTTCCATGTCACTAGTAGTCAAAATTAAGACAAACATTTTCACTCTTCAGATAGGTAAGATACTTCATGGATGGCAACTTCTTCAGTATATTATTGTCATCCATAAAATATGTTACCTTTCTTATTATTGATCAACTTCTAAAATGCCAATCAAACAGATCATTCTCATTCTTCTGAAAAAAACCCATCATGGATTGAATAAGATTAAAACTTGAATTGTTAATGTCGACAAACATCTATCTCTTGACAAGGGATTGTAATCTTTAGAAGTAGAAAAAAACAAAAGTGAAAGAAAAGGTAAAAGCCAAACATAATCCTCCCCATGATGTCCCACCATGAAAGCAAATAAGTTCCCCTTTACTTCTGAGACCAATCCACAGACAAATGCAACTGTTTCAAACCTCGGCTCTCCTTGCACTGCCAGGTTCAGGTAGATGGAATTCCACACCACAGGTCTGTCAAACCAGCAGCAGGTCTGGAATTAGTTGAGCCTGAAAGAAAATTAGAAGCTTATCAGTAATGAAGAGAGAATTGTAGGTACC